ACGTTGATGACGTCACGCTCGTGTCACAGCGTAGTCTCTGGATAAAAACGACGAGTGAGTTCACATTTAAATACATCGTACGAATTCATGAACTCGATGTAAAGGTGCTAGTGGCGAACCGATGACCGATTAAACGGAGCTTGGTTGACGAATATGATTCCAAGACACCTCAAATGGTACCAAACGTCCATGTTACGTAAAAAGGGTTTTTCGTATATCAATAAAATATTTGGTTTGAGAGATTTAATATATATTTAAATTACAAACCACGCTTTGAAAGACATTTCTTTCATTCAATTACATGTATCTGTAATTTTGACGTCACATAAGCACTTCGTCGCTAGAGGGCGTTCAGTTATTTGTATCACATGACATGACCAGCATACCATTTCAGGTCTGTCCTCCATTATTAGTGGCGCCCATGACGCTAACGACTTCGTGGTTTAAAGAGTATGAAGAAAATGAGATGCCCCGAGTATGGAAGGAATATTTTTTTCAAATCTAAAATTGTAATAAATGGCACGGATCAATAGGTTTCATTCCGGCCATTTAACATCGGAACTCAACCGCGAATGAATCTACAATAGGTACAGGTATAATATGGCGCTAACAATCTATGGGATCAACTGAGGCATGACATGCCACGTAACACGTTGACTACACAGCGTTAATCACAGTCTTCTCAGCTCTCCAGTTTCCGATACATAATGCTCTAAAACTCACAACTAAATGCAGACTATATGTTGTCTTGTTACATACTGACCATTCTTGTTATGTGTGTATTTTTATCAATTAAAGATGGTACGACTGTTCTATACATTGTTCACCTTGTTGGAAATCACATGGGCTACTACTTCTATCCTGTCCTGTTCGAATATACACGAAAATATCGAATCTCAGTATAAACGTCGCTCGGTGAAGAGTGACAGAATGTCAACAAAGACTGATCAGGGGGCAGTATTTCACGCCTTACATATTATATGACTAGTCGGCCCATCCAGTCGTCTATCATGTTTATTGGGCTCCCCGTGGAACAACAATGTTCCAAAAGCGCGATTGATTTCAATAAGAATTATGGAAATATATGTATTATTATCATTATTATTATTAATAGGTTACGATCTATCACTCTCAGTATTCTACGTCTTTTCAATAGTAACATTTCTTCAGTTTGGTGACACGTTTCGTATGTCGTCGGTGTAAAATGTTCGCAGGGAAAAATCACGCCGATTTAGGTGATGTGAATAAGACCTAAACTTTATTTTTTAATACTTGTTATTTCACCAAGGAGGGAAACACAAAGCAGCGTCCGTCGCGTTTAAGGAGACAAGCATTTTCACAAACTACACTCAGAATACACTATGTACTCCATAAGACTGTTCTTAAAACGTACAGTGTATGAACGTGAATTGGCATTTTCCGTTCAATTCGCGTCACGATTCACCAATCAACACACAAAGAAAGACTCTTTTGAACATGTATAGCGTCTTCCGTCAGTTGCCATGGCAACTAATTACAGTCGAATTACTAAGAATAAAAGATTTCAATTTCACGTTCGCCATTCGCATGCAGGTGTCTGTTTGAAAATAAACTCGCCGCAGTTATCCACGCTGTATTACTTAAAAATGATGTCGCATAATTCTATGAAAGACCGAAATTTTAAGCTGTATAGTCTTCCATAATCTGCAATACGTACGATCTGCTATTATCATAATGTGCGGATGTAAAGAATTATTTCCTCAATCATCAAAGGCTTATTTGAAAAGACGTTTTCATATTGTCAAGATACTATTCCTAAATCTGTGCTATGCGCACAATATTAACAATATATTCAATCAACGCGATGCAAAGTCGTGATATTTCTAGGAATACAAGAAATGACAGTCAATTACAAAAATAATCGACATTATCATATCGTAATTATTTGGTAGTGTTATCCTAATAACATAGAATATTTATACCATACACTCGGTTCAATATGTTAATTCAGCAAAAAACCACGTACAATACAAGGTCAAGTCGTTTTCATGCCATGGCTGATTAGAGGCTTTTCAACGTTTCAAACGCTGCTTTCACAGTGCGGGGTCATCATCTTTCTTTTTCTGTTCTTGGAACCATGCATAATGTGGGGTGTTATTTTTGTTGGGTTAAACAGTTTTACAAATCTTTATACAATTTGAACTGATTCCCCGTTATTATTTGCTTTTATTTAGACGCTTTATGGATATAGCTGTTTTGATTATTTTTTTTATCTGAATCTTTCCCTTCATTGCAGCAAAATATACTGTTTTATTAACTCACTTTCTTATGTGCAAACGGCAGTGCAAAATTACGTCAGTATTACCCGAGACATTTCTTGCTAAGTACGAACTACTCGTTGTAAAATAAGACGCAGGGGAGATGGTGGTTGCCAGGGGCAACTGGCTCATCTCAGAGAGAGTCATTGTGCCATGCTGTCTTGACATCGTGGTAATTGTAATCACGTGTCACTTAGCCATATTTCAGTCATTGATTTCAATTTACGGCTGGGACGAATTTCACCAGCTTTATGCCTATTTCGCCATCTTAATTACAGAATGTTTTATTTAATGATCACGCTTTTGTAAATGGAGCAGGTGTATTGACCTGATAAAAAAAGCTATACAAAATTTCACGATGACAAGAATGTGTCAATCAATGACGTTTAAAAATAAATCCCGACCAATTAAAATGATTCTTTAGAAATGATTCGTTCAATTGCAACGTCTTCCGTGAGACTTGTTTTATTTCACCATCTGTAGCATTGGCAACATACATGTAGCAAGATTCGCTGATTTTTAATAATAATAATTATTATAATTGCAATGACGATATAACGAATGCTAATATAAATAAGATAAATCCAATGAACGCAACCACTTAGGCGATGTACCTGTTTCCTTGCACGTCATTGGCTGCTCATGTTGTTGTTTTCGTGTGCTGTGAGTGACGTGAAAGGGTGTAACTCCTTCGCGACATTATCAGTACGAAGTCAGTTCGCATTGTGGTGCTGAGCGTTCGGCAGAGCAGCGGGTGAGATTTATCAAACGTGATTCGCTATGAAATGATATTATTATGCTAACGAGGCTGAGAAGGGCTATGTACTTATTTAGTCATATGACTGTGCCTTCCACGCCCCTACATGCAGCACGAATTTAGAACTCTCGCATTTGCATGCTGACGACCGTACACGGAAGACAGCAATACAGAGGGTTTGCCAAAAGATGGGTTTCTGTAATCCACACTGCCTTTTGGCCCTACTCTTCACACATGGAGGCTTAGCGTGCATGCTAGTCGTATACGCCATTATAGGGGCTGCAGTGTTCCAGGCAATTGAAGGTCAGTTCGAAATCCGGGAACGAATACATCTGGAGGAGGTGCGGAGCAACGTGCTCACAACAATCTGGAATATCACAGTAATCGACGGACATGAGGACATGAATTTCACCAGTTGGTCGGAGCAAGTTCGAGACATATTCAGAGAGTACGAGCATGAACACAGGCGATCTGTTATCCACGGTGTTTCCGATGTACTGCCACTGAGATGGACATTTTCTGGGTCGCTATTCTTCGCCTGTACGGTATTTACAACCATTGGTAGGGATGTAATTTACTTATCATTAAGCAATCAAAATATTAACGTACTTCTGTATGTTTCTTTATGTTATGTTTACAAATTAAAATACACTATAATACATGTCATGGCTTAAGGGGCAGTGATCGTCACGCAGCGCGTGTTCGAATTTCATATAAATGTATTTGACACGCGTTGTTTTCGTTGCTATGGGTCCCATATGCACAGGACGCATCGCGACGACCGCCGCCCTTTAAAATGGCAGCGGTGACAGTTGCTGTCAGTGTATCGCCGTATACAGTTACACGTTTGTCGAAATTCTTGTCATCCCGTATCGAGTGTAGGGGGACGTAATACTCTTGTCGGTCTAAACACAGTGGGCATCTGAATTATATTAATTCACAACATCGTGACATCTGATTCCAATACATATTTGTCGATCAAGAGGTGTATTAATAGCATAGAATATAATAGAATAGAATAGAATAGAATAGAATAGAACAAATTGAATAGAATAGAACAAATTGAATAGAATAAAACGGAATGGTCTCATTTCATTTAACAGGGAAAGATGCAGACATCAATAATACAAGTTATTTTTGAGTGTTTACCGAGTCAATATGCGGGCATCTGAGTGAGAGCTCTGTCAGCCAGATGTCAACAAACCTAGTGTCAGGAAGGAAGGTCACCATTTTACTGCCACCCATTGTTTTGTTGAGGTGAACAATGATTTTTTGGAAAATTTGGCTAATGCCGAAATTGAATATGTTGTTAATGCAGTACTCATTGTTTTGTTGATTTGATCATTGTAATGTTGTGTTTTGTTGAGGTATTCATTGTGTTGTTGTGATAAACATTGTGTTGTTGATCTGAAAAATGATGTATTGACTCAAAAGGAGAAGATTGTGAATGTAGTCATTGACAATTTTGTTGTGGAGGTGAACATTGTTTTGTTGATGTTAAAATTATATTGTTTAGGTCAGTATTGTTGAGATGGTCAATGTTTTATTGACTCGAGATGTGAATGCAGAAATTGAATATGTTGTTAATGATGAATAATGAAATTGAATATTGTTTTGTGGAGACGAACATTGTTTTGTTGAGGACAACATTGTGTTTTTGAGATTAACAATCATTTATTGACTATTGAGGCGAATGCAGTATTCGAACATTTTGTTATTGCAGAATCGAAAATTGTTTTGTCAAGATGAACAATAATTCGAATTCATTGACGCAAGTGGTTAACATTGTTTTATTGACTCAAAAATGAATGTAGTAATTGAATATTTTGTTAATGCTGAAATGGAACAGTGTGTGTTGTTGAGGGGAGCAATGATTTTCTAACGAGGTGAAAATTGTGGTGCTGACCCAATAACTTGACATTATGTTGTTCGGGTTTACACTGATTTATTGAACCAAGGGGCCGAAACCTTTTGATGCAGTAATAGAACACGGTCTTGCCGGGATGAAAAGTGAGAGACAATCTCAGTTCACCAGCCTACTAAATTTGTAGAAAAATGTGAACAAATAAAATTTAATTACACATATTGCGTTTTTGTTTCAGTAAAAAAGTAATATTTAAGTGTACCACGTGTCACAGAATGCAGATAATTACTAAAATCGCGTTTGTGAAAAGCTTGACATCTCACGATTCCAAATATTTACATACTAGTATACTTTAATAGGTATATTTTGTTGCCACAATCGTAAGTTGATATGTTCAAAAGCCTAATCGGAATATTTGAGAAAAATGGAAAGACATGCGTGGTAGTCAATTAATGTGTAATTTAGTGTGCGATTGTTCATTTGGCTATTCAACATTATGCTATGAATAAAAATATGTTGTGAAAATTATGTGAAGTCAGTTTTCATAAAATACAATGTTGTTAAACACGTTGTTGCATAGCGTTATAACCCAATAAATAACCCTAGTATTCACAATATAAATTGTGGACGTCCGTTGTATCGACCGCCACACGCCAGGCAGCACAGGAAACCACAATTATCCTCGTTCAATTACAGTCGCAATGTCCACGGTTTATACTATCCCCAATTACGGACATTATGAAATCGGCATGCATTGTATTATCCACACTAAATTGAGTAATTCCGACGAAATAAATTCGTTGTCGCTTTTACTTAAAGGATATTAACATTTTCATAACAATATTCTTAAATGTACACCTGAACAGATATCAATCGGTACCCATTGTCTATTCGACAAAATATGGAAAGTAATTATAAACGTATAACTTTGTACCAATGTAACTAGGCCCGTTATCCGTGTAATTAACATTTACAAGTAATGACCCACCCGTATGTGCTTCTTCCGAACTCGTGTATTTGTATTTGTAGATATATATATATATATATATATTTCTTTATGTCGTTCATTACTCTACACATTGATCTATTACTACATGTGTCTCGAGTAACATTCCACAAACTAAATTAATATCCCGGATCTTTCAAGAGACGCCATGTTTTATATGATTCACTAATATCTCACTTAACCCCACGAGATGATTTAAATAACTCTTTAGTAAATTTCCCGCAGTATGTGGGAATGATGATATATTCTTTATTTATGGTTACTATACTGTGTAACGGGTCTAGAGTGTCAATTGAAATGTTGAGGTTAAGGAGGAATACGTTACACAAGACGTACATGTCTGATATCTACGTATGTGTTGTCGTACTTCGTCGGTGTCGGTGAATGCGTAATAGTTATATAGACGGTGTCAGTGTGTGGTAATGGATACATGGAAAATGAAAACAATTCCTGGCATTCCTAAATCTAAGTCTATCGTAACCATAATCTAATAATAATTCTGCGTCGATCATACTGTACGTTATGTAATGTAATATGGATGGATGGGATGGTGGAATCCAGTTTCGTGACGACACAGGATCATACCCGTATCGACTTGGAGAATGTTAACGGTGACAGCTGTCGTCACATTATGACACCAGGCATACGCAGCGTGCGTAAAATGACCCGACCAGACTATGGGCCCGGAATACTACCTAGATGATACATTCAAGGGGTGTACTCGAATTACCATTATATTAAATAT